AAGCGCTTGTTTCCTGGTGGCCCAATGATCACCGCGATAAAGCAGGCGCGACACTTGGGCATTCCTAAGGGGAGCCGCCAAGAGTGGGGGGGCACTCCAGGATTCGCGCCCAGATTGCGGGGAGATCTCAAGCGGTTTGCCTGTCTCTGATCACCCCCCAGACCTATCTATCTCTTTTGGTGGCCCATTGCTCACAGCGGTATAGCAGGCGTGGCACTGTGGCACCCCAAGGCGAAGCCGCCAAGGGTAGGGACACTCTAACAATACTTGCCGTCGCTCGGACGTCCATTTCCCGTGCATTGTTTGGTTTCGTGCGTGTTTTGTTTTGCTCGACGGTCCAGGATGGTCCTCGATGGTTCTCGCCGAGAAAGAATGCACACGTCCGAGCGATGCCAAGTTGTGGGTATGTCCCAAGCGGTTTGCCAAGTTGTGGGTATGCCCCCAGGCGTTTCCCTTTTGTCTGTCCAATGCTCACCGCGACATAGGAGGCGTGGCGCTCGGGCACCCCAAGGCGGAGCGGCCATGGGTGAGGCCACTCCAAGACTCGCGCCCAAACCGCGTGGATATCTCAAACGGCTTGCCAGTTTCAGCCAGGCATGTCTCTCATTGGACACGTGTGTTCTTCACTCAATCACTCACATCCTTCCCCTCTGTCCCCACGCAGCCGCACTTACTCGCACTCGGAATTACTCACCCGCGCCTCTCTTGACAGTCAGGCTCGCTGATGCTGATGTTAAAGCATATCCAAGCTCGTTCATAGCTACTCGTTCGACGCAGACTCACTCATACTCAGACTCACTCACACCCAGACCAACTCACATCCACACTCACTCGAACTCAGACTAAACCACCCTCATATTTGTTCGCACTCAGAGTACCTCGCGCCCAGGCTCACTCATACTCATATCTGTGGCCATCACACTCGAACTCAGACTCTTCCGCGCTCAGATTCACTCGCGCGCAGACCCATTCGCACTTAGACACCGCTCGCACGCAGACGCACTCGTACTCAGACTCACTCGTACCCGGACTACAGCAAGACTACCAAGACCCACTCGCACTCCGACTCGCCCACACTCACACCACCCACGCTCGTATTCACTTGCTCTAAGACTCACGAACAAGTGGCTACCGCGATATCGCCGGCGTGGCACCTGGGCAACCGAAATGCCTGCAAGCACCGCGAGTAGCACGCCAGATAGAGAGAGAGGAGGAAAAAAAGACGGAGAGAGGGAGAGAGGGAGAGATCGTAGCAACGCCATGATTAGTTGCGCGACTGCCTGAATGGCCGCGGGGACAACGGCAAGAGGAAGTGCCCCTTGCTCTTTCAAGGTTGTTTCCCTCGTCTCCCCTGAACCCAGACCCCCGACGTCATGATTTTTTCATGACGCGACCCCCAGAGGTCCAGACCCATTCCCCAGGACCGGTTTTTCATCCCGAGTCGTTTTTTGACGGTCCCGAGGTCCGGTAAGGGCCCTGAGAGGGCGAAAATAACGAAAAACCTCCCGTCGTGATTTTTTCATGACTCGAGGAGGTCTGGGAACGATGTGCAGAGGAGGAGGAGGACGTCACTGAAGTCATCGCTGCCATCGTCGTTGCCGCCCCTGTCGTCTAGACGGACTCGCTCTGACACCCAGGTGCCCTCCTCCTCCTCCTCCTCCTCCTCCTCCTCGTCCTCCTCCTCCTCCTCCTCGTCCTCCTCCTCCTCCTCCTCCTCGTCCTCCTCCTCCTCCTCCTCGTCGTCCTCCTCCCCCTCCTCCTCCTCCTCCTCCACCTCTGGCACCCAGTTGCCCGCCAAACTTGACAGGAATGTGATATGCACTGGGGGCCTCCGCGTCGAGAAACTTCAAGACACGGGCAACCGACCTCTCGACCGTTTCCCCTGGACCGGTTTTTCATGCCGAGCCATTTTCGTTGGCGGCCCTGAGGCCCATTAAGGGCCCTGGGAAGCCGAAAACGACGCCAAATCTCCGTTTCGATTGTGTCGAAACTCCAACTGTCTGTCGAGAAGGGGAGACTCCCGCACGCGCCCTCCCAGAACCCGAACAGGCTTCTCTTCCCGAGCAGACTCTTGACGGCCCCGCGGTGCCCGGCGATCGGGCCAGGACGGCCTGTGGCCAAGCGGCAGGTCTCTCCCCCGACCCCCTGGCCCCAGCCCCTCGCTCCTGTCGCCGCGAAAGCAGTCGCGACGCCCGCCGCGACTCTTGCGCGGCGAGAGGAGGAGGCGGGCGTCCTCCTCCTCCTCCTCCTCCTCCTCCTCCTCCTCCTCCTCCTCCTCCTCCTCTTCCTCCTCTTCCCTCCTCCTTCTTCTCCTCCCTTCCTCCTCCTCCTCCTCCTCCTCCTCCTCCTCTTCCTCCTCCTCCTCCTCCTCCTCCTCCTCCTCCTCGTCCTGCACAGACGACGACGACGACGACGACGACGACGACGACGACGACGACGACGACGACGACGACGACGACGACGAGCACGACGAGGACGACGACGACGACGCAGCAGTCGCCACAGACGCCGCCGCCGATCACGACGACGACGACGACGACGACGGACGGCGCCGCCGACGGCGAGGGCGGCGGCGGCGGCAACAGCGACGGCCGCCGCCGACGACGGCGCCGACGACGGCGATGACGAGCGCGGCGGCGGCGACAGCACCGCCGACGAGGGCGTCGACGACGACGGCGTGGCGCCCGTTGCAGCCGGCGCCCGCGCCGCGGGGGGGAGGGGGGGGCGCCGGAGCGCCGGCGGGCCCCGGCTCGGCGGCTCGGGCCCGCAGCAGTCGGCGCCGTCGTCGTCGTCGCCGTCGTCATCGTCTTCGTCGTGCTAGTCGTCGTCGTCGTCGTCGTGGTCGTGGTCGTGGTCGTCGTCGTGGTCGTCGTCGTCGTCGTCGTCGTCGTCGTGGTCGTGGTCGTGGTCGTGGTCGTTGTCGTGTTTGTGGTGGTGGTGGTGGTGGTGGTGGTGGTGGTGGTGGTGGTGGTGGTGGTCGTCGTCGTCGTCTTGGTCGTCGTCGTCGTCGTTGTGGTCGGCGTCGTTGTGGTCTTCGTCGTGGTCTCCGTCGTCGCCACCGGGCCGCCGAGCAGGGAGGTGCCGCAGGCCTCCGGGCGGGTGCGCCAGGCCCCGCATCGAGAAGCCCCCTCACCCCGAGCAGTAACTTCGAGAAGAGGATCGACTGCAGAATTGATGTATCCCAAAAGTGGCTTGTCTATCGGACCCACGAAATAGACGTAGAATGTTCAGTACATCTACTGAACATTCTACGCAGCATTCGTCGATTCGACGGGGGCCAAGTTTTGAGTGAATCAATTCTGTATAGTCGACCCCCTACTCGGAAACTGGGAGCGGCTCGGTGCCCCCATTTTTCTTCTTGCACGCGCGAGGGAAGCCCTGTGGCACGGAGAGGAGGACGCGGAGGCGCAGGAGGGGGGGGGGGCGTCGGGCGGGGGTCGGCGTGCGCCCCCACGCGGCGTTCGCGAATCCACGGAGTCGTCGAGCGCCCCGGGCCGCTCCGCCAGAGGGGCCCGGGGCACACCCGGCAGGCGAAGGGCGGCATAGAAGCAGCTGCTCCACGCCGCCGGGGACGCCCGCCCCAGGGCGGCTGGAAAGCTTCCACCCCTTGGCGGTGCGCACAAGGGGGTGGAGGGAGGGGGGAGGGCTTCTTAGAAGGAGGCTGCTTAGGAGGCTGCTTCTTAGAAAAGCGCCGGCCTTCAATCTATAGAGAAGGCCCGCGCCTTCTAAGAAACAGGGGTGCTTCTAAGAAGCCCTCCCCCCTCCGCTCACCCCCCTCTGCGCGTGGCTGAACCCTCGCGGTGGCACGCCGGGGCAGAAACTTTCGAGCCGCCGTCGGGCAGGCGCCCCCGACGGCGGACAGGTCTGTGTCATGCCGATCCTCGTCGGCCAATAGACACCGCGTCGTCCGGTCGGCCAAGGAGCTCGGCGTATGGACACCCTAGCCGCCCAACCTGTGGGACGCTGGAGGCGTCCGGACTCCGGAGGCCTCCGCCGAGTTCCAAGCCACGTGGAGTATACGCGGAGCTCTTCCGAGGGAGAAGAAGAGGGAGGAGGAGGAGGAGGAGGAGGAGGAGGAGGAGGAGGAGGAGGAGGAGGAGGAGGAGGAGGAGGAGAAGATGAGAAGGAGGAGGGGGAGGAGGAGGAGGAGGAGGAGGAGGAGGAGGAGGAGGAGGAGGAGGAGGAGGAGGAGGAGGAGGAGGAGGAGGACGTCCCAGAGCCTCGCTCCTCGAGCTTGTCCCCCGCCTCACCCCCGTCGTGAGACATCACGACGGGCAGCTTGTAGGAGGAGGTGGCGCCAGGCCCATCTCCGTCCGTCGTGAGAAATCGCGGCGGGCGGCCCTCGTGCTGGTTA